AAGATGGACTGCAAACAGATTTTTAATCTAGGTAAAAGACACATACACAAAATGTGGTTCAAGCAAAAGAACAGTAAGTAATCCTCTGAATTTTGTCCAGATGTGAGACACTTGAAATGACCCGAACTCCTCCCTTCCTCCCTTTATTTGCACATTTTCTACTGTTCCTTCCTTCATCCTAATCCCTTCTTCTACATTCATCAGGTCTTTGTCGTCCACACCCCTGCAGTCTACACTCTGCACAGAGCTTCTGGCACTCATCTCCTTCAAGTACTATAAACCCTAAAGCCAAACATACACACCAAATGAAATCTATCTTGCCCAAATACAAGCAACTGAACATAAATATTCAAGCATGACTCCACAAGCTGAATTTGCATGTACAAAAACTAATATAATATACACACAGGCATCACCATGCTCATCCAGTTGTACATGTACTTACATGTACTCACATGCCGCACTGCCTTGCTCACCTCTTTTCTATCTCCCTTTCATCTTTTGCATCATTATCACACCTCACTTTTCCTCCATTTTCTAAATATTTGTCCACTTGATGACAGAGATCACTAGATGTGTTTGCGTTACCCATTTCTTCATATTTGAAGAAATGTATTTGTATTTTTAAAGGCATGTTCCTGCCAATAACTATTCTGCATTATTTTTCCAGTTCCAAATAATGGAATCACCTAACACGTACACACATCACCAATGTCCAGCTATCGGTGAACGGCTGCATGTTCCCATAACAGTTGCTGCTCACAGCTGTTGTTGATGCTTATGTTTTTGTTTTCATTTGGGAGGAACCTTCTGGGGATGGTGAGCTGAATCAAAAATTCATGATAGCAAAGAAAGGAAAAATTCTGTGAGCCTACTTCCACCACGGCGGTGGACATACACAGGCGCTCTGTGCAGGTAAGAGAACAAAAAATAAAATGTGCTGCGTGCAATTTGAACCCCTGCAGGTGAGTTGATTAGTCTTAGGTATTATAACAATTTTGAGACTGCGGTTTGTAAATATTAATGGGGAAACAGTTTTACCTTTACACCCAGATTGACCTTTTGATTGTCATGTCCATGTATATTTGTCCAGAGATAAATGAAGCTTTTACATTTAACAGTTTGCTCACTTTGAAAAATTAATGCTACATCTGGTCAAACAAGGATGTTGCAGTAAGATTCCTAACTGTGCCCTCCTTGTCGCCTGCTGCTGCTGCCTACTGGCTTTTTTCCACTCATACTTGTGTTTTATTTTTCCAACATGTTTCGACAATGTCTCAGCCTTCATAATAAATCGTGTAAGCGTGGTGTGTGGTTGTTTACATTATTTTGTTATTGCTACAGCCCCCTATACAGTACTTTAGCAAGCAAAGCAATTCAAAGCTTGCCAGGCCTGCTGCTGCGCCGTGTTGCTAAGGCTAGGACTGGCCGCTTGCATCGCCGGTGTTCATGTATCATCCCCAGAGAACTTTAATGATTTTGGTGATCTAAGTTTTCATGCTTCTAAAACTGTTGATATGCCCCAACCTTTACAACATATGGCAAGTCAAAATGAGAATATGAATAAATAATATGCATAAATAACTTCAAACAGAAGGTGACTCATGCATGAAGAATTTGATCCTGTCTTTGATAAAAGGTGTATAGCATCATTTATTGTTTCTGTTGCTCTACTGCTTCCACCTGGTCCAAAGTACTACTGTTAAATGTTGCCTATGAAAACATCTATAATTTATCAATTGTTCTTGTTCCAACCAACTGAGTGGAGTAGGATGTAAAATGGTGATTCTGAAACGTCAACTTCACAAAGCTGCAGAAACAGAAGCCCTGAGGTCTCAGCAGGCCATCACAAGTGAAAACATTTCCTTATAATCACGCTACATATATGCAACACACACTAAACCATCATACCTGCTCCATCAGCTGGTCTGACATCCCATATCCTGTCAACCACCCCCCTCTAGTGTTGCACCATTAGAATACAGTGGCAGTGATACAAAGTGCAGCAAGGCCATGTGGTATCAGGGTGGATCCTGTCATCTGCCTTTCTGTCCATTTGTCCATCAAACAAGACATACAACCTGTCACCAGCATCAGTGCCTCTGCAAACTGTCTATATTGTGAAAAAATATTGTAACTGGTTTGTGTAAGTGTTAACTATAGAATTCAACATCAAATATTCATTTAGGATCTGAGCTGTAAGGATCCTAAGATACCAGCATTAGACAGTTTTAAGACTGATGTGCAACTGTTCAGTAACATAAAAATAATAATAACAATAATACAGCTGCAGTTCCATCCTTGCACAGTAAATAAAATTCCACAGTACTGTTTGTGTTACTCAAACAGAGAACTTCTGCACCCGATTTATTCAAAGGATTACAGGTAAAATTAACATTACACGCTCAGGTATCTTGCACCTCCAAACTGCTCGCAGGCAGATGTAAGATGAAAGACCCTGAACCCACCAGGCCTATACATTATATCCCCTCGGTTGGGCTAGCCCCATACTACACAGAAACGTCAACCGAGACGTCTCTGTTACCAGCTTTGCAGCTGGTCATAGCAGTAGTCAAAACATGAAGCAAATCAACGTGTGTGTGTGTGTGTCTGTTGGTTAAGTGGTGTGTAGCTAAAAACATTCTCACGACCTCTAGTAACATGTCGTGGCTTAAACATAAGAACCTATTATGGCTAAGGCTACAGTTATACACGTCATAATAATAATATTAAACACCCTGTCTGCTGACAGTCATCAACTCTTCTCTCTAGTTATCCTTGACCAGATGTACCCTGTAGAAACTCATAAGCATGACTAAGCATTTAACAGTCTAACTAGACATCCTATCTCCACTAAACATTTCTAATACATAAAGTATCTATCCAATTTCTATCTGACTAAAAATACCTAACAACTGGAAACGCTGACAGAAGAATCACAGGTATCATGTAAGTAAAAGATGTTTGTGCTTAAACAAACTATTCAAACCTGGTAAATACACACATTTGTTTTCTTGCCAAGAGTTAAATGAGAAGACAGTTTGAGAATACTAGTCCTGGTTCCAGTCTGACTGCTAAGCTCAGCTGACTGGCTGCCATGTATTTACTATAGAGACATGAGCGCATGAGGTGCTGGCCTTCTCATCAAACTCTCTGCAAATAAACAAAAGCAGTGCATTTCACCAAAATTATTACTTTGTGTGCACATGCAGTATGTGTGTGTGTGTGTGTGTGTGTGTGTGTGTAATTTAAGCCAGTGCAACGGACAAGCAGATAAGTTGGTGCTTGTGTATGTCTCACCAGATGTGACAATCCTGCATGTGTTCATATCCCTGTGCACATGTACAGTATATCTATACAAGTGTAGAGGTGTGTGTGTGTGTGTGTGTGCCTCAGACGAAGTGCATGCTAACAAGCCTCATACTTTGCTGACAAGTGAAAGCAACCAGAGGAGAAACAACAGAGTGGACAGTCCCCATGTATGTTGCAGAGCTGACAAGAAGCTGCACAAACTGCTTAAGGTTGTCAGACCCGGTTTTACAGCTTCCATCCACACAAACAGTTTTGTCACACCCAACAGAAAAAGGACCACAAGCCAGGTGTATTTGATCCCTTCTTTTGATTATGTCTGTTCTGCTCTGTGTTATTGAGGCTATTCTATGATCACACAGAAAGAGGCATGGTGATATTTATCTATTTATTTATTACAGTGTTTACAAAAGCCTGGGGGTTATTTTTAAACTTTTTGATCACAAGCTAACGTTCAGCTATTCTCACTGTACCTCAAATTTTCAAATTCTTCCTCTGTTAACACTTTTAGTTGTCACAAATCTGTCTTGTTCTGTGCCTTAACCTGTGCGATTATTTCTTATCTATGTTTCTGCTACTCTTTACCACATTAAAACTGATTAGACAGCAACATTTGATTTAATCTGTGTGCATCCAAAGTGTTGTGCAGTGGAATACAAACACTGTCGGCAGCAGAAAGTTGTGTGACTGGGCCTTTCTACACACAGTAATCATCCCTTAACAATTTGACAAAGTGAGTGCACTTTATGAGATTTGTTTTGTTTATGCTGGAATCTGTACACACACACACATCAACAGGTAAAAATATAAAAGAAGGGAACTGTACAGTTTCTCAGGACTAGCAGATAGCAGAGGTGCAATCAAAAGATTTTGAGGAGATCAAAACTCATTTCATATACATATCAGCCAACCTCTCCAAAGGACAAAACTCACTTTCAAACATGAAACCTACAGAAAAACAACTTCAGGTGTGTCTGTTGTTAGGTATTTTTAGTCAGATAGAAATTGGATAGATACTTTATGTATTAGAAATGTTTAGTGTCACCCTCTTTATACTTTTGTATGCCACTCCAACATCAGCGTAAAAACACTCAACCTCCCAGTAATGGCAACCTGTCAGGCCTTCTTCACACAGCACCTGAGGGGCATCAAATCTGTCCGGATGATCAGGATATGGCTGCTGCTTTATATCATATATTGCCATTTTGTTCTCCTCACTCAGAACTACATTCACACCCACTGTGTTGGGGTCCAGTGTCAGATCACAGGCATCTCCAATCAAGACAGAACAACTAATTCACCAGTGAGGTAACATTACTTAGCAAATGTGCAAAGTGGCTATGGCCAGAGCTTGGTAGTCTCTAGTTGTGCCTTGTTGTCTAAATCACCTCCTAAAGAAACAGGAATACTGTAGGACAGTGTACCAACACTGCAGCCCCTTACAAATAAGTCCTGATTTGAAAAGATTTTAAAAAACCTGTATGCATGTTATAATATCACAGCTTAAGAATCTTAAAAGTAATTATATTCTCACACTGTCTCAGGAGCTTCAAGTCAAACCAGCATTCTTCATTGTGGTTAACACTAATGGGAAACAAAGGGACAAAGTAAAAAATATTGTCACATTTTAAATCAAATGAATAAAATGAATCTTACAAATAAATCTTGAAATAATGATACAGGTGTGTCTGCTAGTCATACTTGAGTTTCTCCAGACTGCAGCGTGAATCCCTTTGTATTTCACTTAGCAGCTGGACTCCTTGATCTGTGAGGTGATTGAAGCTCAGGTCCAGATCCTTGATGCTGCAGTGGTCAGACCTCATAGCTGAAGCCAGCGAAGCACATCCGTCTCCCCTCACTTTACAGAATGAGAGCCTACAGAAATGAGACAACTGACATTTAAGGTGTTGTGTAGATGCCCTTATCAGCAGCAATTTTCACTGGTTAACATGACATGGGCCCTATTTTTATTAGTCATTTATCAAGTGCTCCCTTTGGACTTGCTGACAATTGCAGTACCATATATCACACAAGCTGACACTTTACCAAGAGCCGGACCAAAAGGAGTACGCACGGATCAATCCTGAAATATCGATCTGTCCAATCCCAACGTTTCGTTTTCTATCATTGATTCCTATGTTAAAAGATCAATATCTAAAATAAGTAGGCTAACCTGGGGTAGATGTATATTTTATCTTCAACAGACAGACAGTCAGTAGACAGTAGCTACACTTCCCAGGACAGTCCAAATAATACCCAGTTGATAGGAACTACTTCTCCTTCCGCCAGTCATAGTCATATGCAAACTATGGCTCCGTAAACGTGTTAGCCGCTGCGCAGAGTAAGAAAAACTTTTAGTCTGGAGTCTCTTGGCAACAGAGTGGATGTCATACGGGGTTGTAAAGGGTTGTAAGATTTGAATCTTATAGGCTCTAGTTACTTTATCCTTTTCATAACTTTAGTTTCCTTTAGTTATTTTTCAGAACTTTATTTTCTTTTAGTTACTTTTCATACCTTTATTTTTCCTTGGTTATACATAATAAAACTGTATTGATGACTGCAATATTCTACTGAGTGAAACTTTGGAACTGTATGCTGAAATTCTGCAGAGACAGGATGTCTGTTTTACATTTTAACAAAGACCTGTTGGCCTGTTTTGCATCTTCACCTAGACCCGCTTAGCATATTCCAAGTTCTGCTTTGTCATGTAGTATCTTGCAGAGACAGGGGGCCTACAACCTGAGATGACCACCTGGTCCATTTAGCATACTCACTAGGTCCTGCTTTCTCCTGTAATAGTCTACACAGATAGGGGGTCTGCAGCGTAGACAACCAATTGTTCAGTGTTCATTGATCAAGTTGCCGCCTGGTGTGTGCTCTCCCCTCTGCTGTTTTCACTCTACACCAACGACTGCATCTTGAAGGACCCGTCTGTCAAGCTCCGATATAATGGTCATTGGTCTCATCCAAGATGGCGATGAGTCAGCCTACAGACGGGAGGTTGCGCAC